TTACATTATGGATTCCCCTGTCCTCCCTCCTCCCTCCCCCAGCCTTCCCCCCCAATCCACCCCCCATTCCCACCTCCTCCAGGGCAAGGTCTCCCCTGGGGATTCAGTCCAGCCTGTTGGTTTCGTTTGGGGCGGTTTCGTTCCCTTCTTCCTTGCCCCAGGGTTGGGCAAGTTTTTTCGGCTTGGGCCCCGGTTTCCAAAAGGCCGTTTCTTGCCCCAGGGCTGGTTCTTGTTCCCCTTGCTTGGGGGCTTCCCAACAGTTCAAGCTAATCAACTATCTGACTTATCCAGAAGGCCTGATCCAGTTCCATGGGGGTTCCTCAGCCATTGGCTCACAGTTCATGTGTTTCCGATAGTCTGGCTATTTGTCCCTGTGCTTTTTCTTATATCTTAAATACCTAGCAAATGGCAAGCTCCCTCTGTTAGATGGCCCCTACTCCTTGATGGGATACAGATGAGTTCAGTTGACAATTTGATCTGCTTCTATAACAACAAAAGAACTACTTAGCCACCCATTTCTTGGAAAGTTAAACAAAATCTATTTGATTCAGGGATGAAGGTCAGAGCTGTCAAGAGATTACCATAAAGGATGCAAGGTAACTTTTTGCTGACCAGTCCTTTATGCTCCTCACTTCTCTTTACCCTGCTTCTGCCCTTCCCTAGCCAGAAAAAACAGAAAAAGCAAATTATTCTAAGAGGTACTCCAAAGCGTCAACTTTGACTCAGAGTCACATATGAATGCTTTTTCAGATTTTCTTCAGAGAATTGATGGTAGGCTCTGAGTTCAACCCACTCAGACAGAGCAAAACTGAGCATCTGGGAATCCATCTGCCTGTAAATCAGCTCACTTTGTATTCATTACAGTCAAAGCCAGTCACCAAAATGTCATTTATTCCAGTGTGCCTTTTCCTTTCTATGTGTTGAATGTTTCAGAACTGATACCCACTTAGCCTAATTGTCCGTTAGACAGAAGTGTGGGTGATGTCTGCAACTGTGGACGAGGCTGCTCTGTTTCACAGACATTGGATATTGGTTCTGCTGCTTCCTGTGGAGAGGCTGTGAGAGGTTAAATGGTAGACACATTGATGTCACTTTTGGTTTTCTTTGTTTGAGGGAGGCCTTAATAGATCAAGAGAATCTTGACCTACTCCAGAAAGCCCGTTTCCAGGGCTTGGGAGCCTTTCTGCCTTCTCCAGAGTTGTCCCATATGTATTCTGAAGGTTTGCTCAGCTGCATTTCCCAGGCTCTGCCTTCTTTCCAGCAGGAAGTTGCATCTGATATCAAGGCCTCCTCCCCTCCTTCTGCTGTGAAGTCATGGGGAGCTAAGAAGACTGGGTAATTTTCGTCCACACTGAGGGAGTTCAGAACACACTCCAAGTACATGGAATTCAGAGGGGCTGTGATGCAGCTCAATTGATAGAGTATTTTGCCTAACATGCATGAAACCCTGGGTTTGGTCCCTAGCACTACATAAAACTGGACATGGTGTCAGGCATGGTGGCCAACACCCTTAATCCCAGTACTTGGGAGGCAGAGTCAGGCAGATCTCTGTGAGTTCAAGGGTGACCTAGTCTACATAGTGAGTTCCAGGTCAGCCAAAGCTACATAGTCAGCCCCTGTCTTAAACAAAACAAAACAAAACAAAACAAAACAAAACAAAACAAAACAAAACAGGATACAGGGTACGTGCCCAATACTTGGAAGGTCGAGGCCAGGAGGATCAGAAGTTCAAGGTTATCCTTGGCTTTAAGACTATATCCCAAACAAATAAATGGAACTCAAAAAATCAGAAGATAGCATGACTCCTGGGAAACAGGGTGGGAGCGTAGTTTCTAAAGATGATAGGTAAGCAGGCTGAAGGGAATGATATCTGGAGAGAGTGTGATCATTCCATCAGCTCCTACCTGCAGTGTGTTCCTTGTTCCAGAGGAACGAGTGTCTGGGACCTGGGAGACAGGCTCCACACTAACAAGCAGCTGCCTGGGTAACTGGGCACAGTTTCAAACCATCTCTGCACTTTGAACTCAGGGGCCTCAGCTGAACCCTGAAGCAGACTGTGTGTCTAACATCCAACCACCTGAGGACACAGGAAAAAATAAGCCCAGACTCGCTTTCTCCTGTTTGCTCACTCAAAACTCAACACAAGACAGTCCACACACCAACCAAGCTAACCATTCTGAAATAGACACCAACTGGGCATCCTCTAACTCAGTTGTGATACTCTTAGGACAGTGCCAGGTCCCACAGTTGAGGGCACGTCCAGATGCCATTCCTCAGCCTCGGGTTATTTCGCCCAGCCTCTAACCATCCATCAATGAGTTGGGATTTCTACAAGCCCTCCTCAGGACTCAGGGGTATTATTACGGTAGACTGCAGTTTATTATAAAGGATATCACACAGGATAGTGATGGGCGGCACATGAAGAGATGCATGGGGTAAGACTTGGGGGGAGAGGGGCACTACTACCATACCCTCTCCAGGTGTGCCGCCTTCTGGGAACCTCCATGTGATCAGCTGGACAGTTCTCTGCACCCTGTCCTTGAGAGCTTTTCTTACATCAGTATGAGCGATTAACTAATTGACCAGCCTCTCCTTTACCCTCCCTCCTCCCCGGAGGATGGAGGGCACAGCACCAAAAGATCCAACAATGGACTCCTGCCTTGGTTCTTCCTGACCAGTCAGCACTCAGCTTACAAAAGAGCACTTCCCTCTGCAGATTCGGAGACCTAAGGGTTGTATGCAGGTATCCAATATATGTTCTACAACATCACTGTCAGGTGTGGAAGAGCAGGAGGTGGAGGAGGAGGAGGAGGAAGAGCAAGAATTAAAGAGAGAGGTGCTAAGTCCAATTGTCTTCAGGCAAGAGACTTACTAATGCTGAAGCCAGGGCTACAACAGGATCTGAAGTAAGAATCTTCAATGGTGCCGGGCGGTGGTGGCACACGCCTTTGGTCCCAGCACTCGGGAGGCAAAGGCAGGTGGATCTCTGTGAGTTTTAGATCAGTCTAGTCTACAGAGTGAGTTCCAGGACAACCAGGGATACACAAAGAAACCCCATCTCAAAAAGCAAAAGCAAACAAACAAACAGAAAAAAGAATCTTTGCACCAGGTGGTGGTGGTGCATGCCTTTAATCCCAGCACTCGGGAGGCAGAGCCAGGTGGATCTCTGTGAGTTTGAAGTGAGCCTGGTCTACAGAGTGAGTTCCAGGACAGCCAGAGCTACATAGAGAAATCCTGTCTTGAAAAACACAAAAACAAACAAACAAACAAAAATAAGAATCATCAATGCTGCCAAAGCAAGGTGTCTACTCTTTGTGTGTGTGTGTGTGCATATGTGGTGTTTGTTTATTTGTTGAGACAGGGTTCCCCTGTGTGGCCCTGGCTGGCCTGGAACTCACTATATAGACCTTCAACTCACTGAGATCCTTCTGCTTCCACCTCCAGGTGTAAAGGTATCAACCATCTCTTGACAAGGCATCTTCTTTTGAAGGTTTCTGAGGGAGAGCAAGACCTTGCATTTGGGGGAAGCAGGCTGAGTTAATATGTCAGGCTGCCTTTGCCCCCCAGGCAGCAAGAGAGTCCTGTGAGTTTCCATCCTGCTAAAGGCCCTGATTGGTGCTGGTTACTTAGCCTGTGTCCTCTCACAATCACACCACCCATTAGCATCGTCCCTTGGCATCTGTTAGGCGCGATGATTAGACTAGTCAGTTTAGTCACTATTTAGTCTGGACATAGAAATACTGCTCAAGAGACCATAAATCATTTTAATGTTGTTAAAGAAAACATATTCTGGTTTTTCCTTAAATGGTAAGACAGAGTTTATCCAACAGTATTTCAGTCTGGACCTAGTGACTAAGGCCTATAATTCTAGATATTCAGGAAGGTAAGTCAAAAGGTTTACAAGTTCAAAGTCAGCCTGGGCTACAGAGTGAGTTCAAGTCCTGCCTAGGCAACTGAATGAAACCCTGTCTCATAAAAAAAAAAAAAAAAAAGAGAGAGAGAGAGAGAGAGATCTGGGGACGTTATGTGGTAGTAGAGTGCCTCCCTGGCATGCACAAGGCCCTAGGTTCAATCCCTGGCACTAACTAAAATAGCCCTGCTATAGAAGAGAGGAATTGTGCTCAAGCCTGAACACAGCCAAGGCAACTGAAGAGAGCAGAGTGAGGAAGATGATGAGATAATGGGGAGGAAAAAAAAAAAAAAAACAGTTTAGAGCAGCGGTTCTCAACCTGTGGGTTGTGACCCCTTTAGAGGTCACCTAAAGCCATCCGAAAACATAGATATTTATATTACTATTCATAACAGTAGCAAAATTAAGGTTATGAAGTAACAGTGAAAATAATTTTCTGGTTGGGGGTCACCACAATATAAAGAACTCTATTCAAGGGTCGCAGCATTAGGAAGGCTGAGAACCACTGCCTTAGAGGAAACACCAGTTGTAAGGGGATTCATGTTAACATAATGGAATATTTGCTAAAGGCAGGCCAAAGGAGCTCAGGAACTTAGGTAGCGGACAGTGGACAATTGTGAAATTGACTTAGCAGGACTCTTGCTAAAACTGGACCCGAGGTCAAGACCAAAGCCTAGCTGAGAACAGACTCAGAGGAGCCTAGCTGAAGTTTGGTCAGGGAGAAAGTCTTGGTCAGCATCCACAGCCTTCTCCTCCTTCCCACTCCCTGCCCCAGCTCAGCTCCAAAAGAGGGAGAGGTCTCTGCTTCCCTCAGCCAGCCCCTTCCTGTAGACCTCCCAGACTCTCTCCTTGGGAAGACCGAGGATGGCAGACTCTGGAGACTCCAGATGTGGCCTCTCTACTGGCAATCATATTTCTGACTCAGTCTAGTCCCTGCTGAGGGAGCCAGGGAAGCTTGCTTCCCAGAAGCGGAGCGCCATCCCTGACAGCCCGCTGGCAGCCTTAGCAGAGGCAGAAGTAGTCACTTTGCTGGCTCCTTTTAGTCACCTGACTGAGCGTCCACTATGAATGGAACTGAAGGAATCCTAAATCCAGGCCTTAGCACAAGAACAGCTGTTCTGGTTCTGTTTTAATTTCTTCCATAATAAGCTGGACTTGGCCAGGGCGGCAAACTACAGTCCATAGAGGCTTTTGGGTGTTCTCGTTCTTGCAGCAGCCAAGGATGGCTTTGAACTATATACAGCCTTCACATGTTGAATGCTGGGATTGCAAAGGCTTCTTTGGCGGTTTGCTTTGTTCTGCCGTGGGAGACTGTTTTTTTTGTTCTTTTGTCTTATTTGAGACAGTCTCACTGTGCAGCTCATAATGGCCTCGCGCCTCGCCTCCCAGGCGCTAGAACTGCATGCAGGTGCGCAGCATCACTCCTCAGGCCGGTCTTCCTGCTTCCCGTCCACTCCTGGGAAAGTGCAGAGCTAGGTCTGGGATGACTTCTTCCACGGCCGTACTTCTGCAGTTTGTATTTCCATCATTGTTTATTTTTAACTGTGTGTGTGAGAGAGGCCCGGGGGGGCAGCGTGAGTGTGGAGATCAGAGGACATCTTTGGGAGTAGGGTTTCTCCTTCTGCCTTGCTGAGGCAGGGTCTCTCAGGGTTCTGCAGCTGTGCGGTGTACACTCCAGGCTTGCTGACCCCTGCACTCTAATTCTTCTGTCTCTGACCCCCATCTCGCTATAGGAGTGCTGGGATTACAGAAGGGAACCACAGAAGCAGCTCTTTAGAGGGGTTCCAGGGATCCAATGCGGGTCTTCAGGCTCATACAGAGAGTGCCTGTACCCACTGAGCCGTCTCCATCGACCTCAGCTCTGATCTGTAGCTTTTTTTAAAGGTGTGTGTGTGTGTGTGTGTGTGTTATGGACATCACATGTGCACAGGAGTCCTCAGAGGCCATAGGAGGGTGTTGGGTTGCCTGGAACTAGAGTTACAGATAATTGTGAGCTGAAATGCAGGTGCTGGGAACTGAACCTGGTCCTCTGGAAGAGCAGGACTTACCGCTCTTAACTGCTGAGTCATCACTCCTGCCCCAAGAGCTATACTTTTTGTTGTTGTTGTTGTTGTTTTCGAGACAGGATTTCTCTGTGTAGCTTTGTGCCTTTCCTGGAACTCACTCTGTAGCCCAGGCTGGCCTCGAACTCACAGAGATCTGCCTTCCTCTGCCTCCCGAGTGCCA